GTTTTGCCGCCCCCATGTTTCCCTGGGCCCGCTGTAACGGCCTGGCCGGTGGCGGGGGTCTCAGGAGGAAGAGGAGTGCCCCGCTTCCATTTCCATTAAGGGGTAACAGCCTAAGGGTCTGTGCACAAGAAATGTGCCAGAGAGGCCAAGGAAGGAAACGGTGGTGCAGCCTGTTGAGACACAGGGAAGCGTAAAACATCTGGGATCCAGAGGTTGGGATTCCCCCACAGCAATCCGGTGGGCAGCCAATACGGGTCTTTTCCTTGTTTGAAAAGTGCCAGGTACACATTGCTCTATAAACAATAAAAGATTATTTGACTGTGTTAGAAAAGAGGGAGACTCTGAACCAGATGGTCCCCTCATGCTGCTCCTTCTTACCATTGTGGGGTGGGATTGTTCTTGTGGCTCTGCTGCAATTAATTCATCACCTGAGTAAATCTCTGGTGTACCTGCAGTGGTTCTCTAGCAATCTTAAGGTGCAATGTGGTATTTTAACTGTTTCTCAAAGGACCAGTACAATAGGGCATCATCAAATCTCTAATGTAGTGCCATGGAAACATTTACCATGGTCGCTGGGAAGCATTATTCACTTTGATGGAGAGTTTCTGCAACAGAGCAGAAGGGTGTTAACACCAAGTGCCAAAGAAGAGAGCCTGTGGTTTAAACTGTCCTAATCTCTTCAAAGGTCAAACAGTCAATGGCCCAATGTATCAGTCAATCCCTGCTCAGCAAAACATTTAAGCTTCTACTAAGTGAATCACTGAATTAGGGCCTACATGCATAGTGCTGTCAAATACACAAAATGAACAAACTGAATAAAGAATCCATTTTTTCTCTAAACTCTTTCAGTAATAATGATCCTATGTATAACTTGTATCATAGCAGACAAAAATGTTGAGACAAAGTTCCATTTTAATTGATTGTGTCTCTAGTAGCTGTGAAACTAATGATCCTATAATACACCATTAACTACTCAGAATAATTAACAGCTTTATTGAAGACATCAGAAATATGATACTGTGGTATGAGTGGCAGCATAAGAAGTTAATATCACTGTCGTCATGAATGTAGCTAATTTTCAGAAGTACAAATATTCTAAAACTGGCTTTATGAAGCTTAGCAAAGTAGTTTATCAATAGATAGTTCTTCAATCGTTTTCTAGAATTCAATAATTTAACACATGCCCAGAGGTTACCATCTATACAAGGTTATAATTCTACAAAAAAAGGGCTTTTTATGCCTCAAGACTGTGCAGAAAGAATGCCAGCCCTCTCTATATGATGATTATCTTGAATATTCCAGAAGGATTGATTTTATTTTGATTCTGCAGGATGCTGAATGAAGTGCAAAAGCATCAGCAGTCAGTAAGGCACCTGGGAAGAAAGGCATCTGGATAACACAAAAAAAATGTGCAGAGCACCCATATAGATGTGAGCCCTAGTATGTAGGAGATGAATAGGATGGTGCAAAGGTGATTTACTGAATGTAAATTATGTGCATTGTGGTTATGTTTTTAGGTTTTCCTTGAACCCTAAGATAACCAGAAGCAGTAGTTAGCTGAGAGTGATTAATATGTATACTTGGAAAAAATTGAGATCAAGGGCTCCCCCCCTTGTGGCATACGTCTGAGGGTTTGAAAGACACTCTCTTTCAGCTATTCAGTGCCTTATGATGTGTTCTGGGAACAGCGTCCTTACTGAGCACCAGCCTGCTACACTCAGTTTACTTTAGGTTGTGGGCAACAAAATATTGCATCCAACAGCCCTTCCTGCTATGAGCCCTATCTACCTAGCCTGAATGCGCTATTCTCACAGCCCTCAGCGACACCAAAATTATGAGCACTGCTAAGGTGCATGCTAAAATCTACTTAACTCCGTCTCTTTTCTTAATATTATATATTTACATTTAGGCAATTGGATATATAAATGGTCATTTGAGTCAATAAACCAACATATAAAGAACTATAAGAAAGCCAGTACTTTTCTCATTCTTCAAATTTCTGGTTACAAAATTATCCTTGCGATATTATTCACAAAATAAAGGCATCAAAAAAATCTCTTCCACTGTTATTAAAAAATAAATCTTATCTTCTAAAAGTAATAAGGTATTCTGGATAAGCTTGAATGTCATTAAATATGACAAACATTGATGGACGACCCATGTTATCAGTCACACTATCATATAGGTCAGTAGGATCTGCAATGTTTTTTGCTGGTGGAGTGATTAATCCTCCTTTTCCAGTGCAATATATTCCAGTGAGAACTCGAGCAAGGTACATGTATTTTCTGCCATTCCCATCAGGTCTAGAGTATGTATCCTGAGCAGAATAACTGGCATCAACAGCAAAATAGGTTCCATTTCCAATTGCTGCACCTGTGATCAGAAAGACAAAGTTTTGAAAACTTTTAAAGAACGAGACTTTCATTCTTATGTAACCCCTAAAATGCGCAACCTTCTCTTCTACTATCAGTGAAAAAGGATCATTTGAAATTAAAATTAAGAGTTTGACAGCATCATTCCAGCCTCACTTGGAATAGGGCCTTGTACCAAAATATCAATCATAAGTTTACTGAGATGACACTTATCACTGAGCTAATCATGCAGACTTACTTTGCCTTTTCTTATAGTGAAGGAGGTTAAACTTTCTCCCTCTATTTGTCATTGTGCAGTTTTCTATCTAACACTTGGCAAACATTTAGAATTTTTTAATTATAATATTATATAATTGTAATTATAGTATTCTAATTATACTTCACAGAGGGAGAGGAATCATGGTTCTTCATCTGGGACCTGTTTCTCTTTTTTGAAAGTGGGAGAAAGCTTCTAATACAAATAGTCAAAAATATATGCAGGGAATTGAATCCTATTGCTAAAGACTTCATCCTTCCTTGCCCCATCTGCTTTTTTGCTGTTCATCACATCTGTTCCATTGTGTCATGTATAATACTATCCCTGATCCTGTAACGTATGTATTCTGAGTAATTCAACTTAGTTCAATGCTTAAAGCTAAGTACAGGCGCAAGTCTTTGCAGAACCAGGGCCTCAGATAGTCTCTGCGCCGAATACAATGTCTTTGGGTGCTACAAACCAAAACAACTGTATGACCAGTGCAGATCATCTCTGATTTATATTTAACGGAGTTGTCCATGACACTAATTAAAGAGGAAGAATGTATATATTAAATGTAACTCTTGTGAAAAGTGCCGGATTGAGTGGTGTCAATAGATAACAGCACAAGCAGCAGCGGAAGCTTTTCCCACACTGTTCAGCCAATTTGTCTCATATCTGATAAGGCGGCACCATTTTCTAGGCATAAAAGATAATTAGTTGTATCTCTATGTTCATTCACTTTGTGATATCTCATCTGAGAATGTCAACAGGGAAGACAGGCAGTGACTGTTCTGATTAACAGTTTTTGTGAGCTAGGTAATACATTTCATAACATATATCAACTTTCAAAAAGGCCACCAAAGTTTTAAATGATTTTAGATTTGCGAAGTACAATGATCTCTCTGTGCTAGCCTGCAGCTGATACTGTGCACGGGCCAAGGGATTAACCACTTGACATTGATAAACTTCTCAGATCTTATTCACAATTTACAATTTTTAGACAATAAACCAGGTGCGGGCAAACTACAGCCCGGGGGCCACATCCGGCCCTTCAGATGTTTTAATCTGGTCCTTGAGCTCCCGCCAGGGAATGAGGTCCGTGGCTTACCCTGCTCCGCGTGTGCCGTGGCGCCACACGGCTCCCGGAAGCAGCGGCGTGTTCCCCCTCCAGCTACTACACATGGGGCAACCATGGGGCTCTGCCTGCTGCCCCCCAAGCACTGCCCCCGCACCGCCCATTGGCCGGGAACCCTGGCCAATGGGAGCTGCAGGGGCAGTGCCTGCAAATGAGGCAGCGCGCAGAACTGCCTGGCCACACTTCCATGTAGGAGCCAGGGGGACGACATGCCGCTGCTTCCGGGCACTGCTTGAGGTAAGAGCCACCCAGAGCCTGCACCCCTGACCCCATCCTGCACCCGTACCCCCTGCCATAGCCCTGATCCCCCTCCTGCCCTCTGAGCCCCTCGGTCCCAGCCCAGAGCACCCTCCTGCACCCTCAACCCCTCATCCCCAGCCCCACCCTAGAGCCTACACCCCCAGCTGGAGCCATCACTCCTACCCTGAACCCCAACACCCTGCCCCAGTCCGGAGCAACCTCCCACACCCTGAACTCCTCATTTCTGGCCCCACCCCAGAGCCCTCACCCCCCGCCCGCACTCCAACCCCCAATTTTGTGAGCATTCATGGCCCGCCATACAATTTCCATACCCAGATGTGGACCTCCAGCCAAAAAGTTTGCCCACCCCTCCAATAAACAGTAAAAATAAACTGAAAATAAAAGCCTGCAAATTAACCAATAATGAAAGCATGTTATCTGGCTAGACTTATAAACCCTCTAAAACATAAGAAAACCCTTTGGCTTAAGGAATGAGCTGTCTGTCTGATAAGAATAAACAGCTGTATAATTAAGATATCAGCACAGGTATATCGGAACTCATTAGCTAGACATTTCAATAACTACTGAATGCAATAGCGCACTTCAGAACCTGGATGGATGGTGACATATGAACAATTCTCATATGCTCAAGGCACACACAGAAGGGTCTAATAGGACATCTAATACCTCTTTCCCTCCATACAGAATTATTCCCTATATTTACTAATTCTTTGTCTCTTTCTCTGACCTCATTCCTCACCGTGCGCTGTGCATATGACACCATTATCTCACACCATGTCTTACTCATCCATTCCCTGTTTAGGAAATTAACTTGCTTTGAATAATAATTTACCATTAATTCCAACAAAACCACGATTAAACCCATTGTAATTAATTGTGCTCAGTGAGGAACTAGGTGTTCCATGGAATAGGAGAGTCTCATTAATTGTGTTGCCATTCTTTTTGTCCAGCGACTGTTTTTTGATTTGGTAGGTCTGCCACAGGTAAGGATTTTGTACCCTTTCAATCTGCAAAGTTAGAAAATAAAACACATTATTGTTAATGCCCAATATCTAAGATGACAGCAAAGCATTCAAAAATAACAAATATAAATCAATTCGTTTTCAGATCACTCTGCCCCTGTGGTGTCTATTTAGAGTTGGGACACTGGAAATCCAAACATTATGGAATGTGAACCAATAAATAACCAGAATATGATAGCCTACAAAAAGTCTTTAGTTTGACCATTTCCTTTTAATCACTTGAGCTTTGCCTAACTTGCAAAGTATGTAGGGCAAACACTGGCATGTTCTCAGCAAAGTGATGAAGTTTTTAGAGGTATGCTGTTGTATTCTGCTATTGTCCTATCACCAGCAGCAAAAGGGGCTTTTGAGTAAGATGCACTCTGAACAGCTGAACTCTTTGCTGATAATTCTCCCATGAAAGGAGAGAATTGTAGAGATACCATTATGCTTTTACAAGAACAAGGTTCTTTTCTAGATCCCAACTTGGGGGTTACAATCTACATTCAGGCAAAACTTACTGACGTCAGTGGCCCGTATCCTGAAACCAGCACATAGGTTGAAGGGGATCTCCCTATGGGACTCACAGGGAAGGAATCTGTCCCCCAAGCTGTGGATTAACAAGGAAATTGCTCTATGACTGCTACTGTAGCCTCATGGCTGCAGAAGTGTGTGTGGCCAAACAGTCTCCACCTGCAGAAGGATCTGTGTAGAGTAGGTGCCATTCTCCTGGACCCAATGTTCCCCTTGCCTGCCTCCCACCATGTACAATGGGCTGTTGGGAGCTCCGTTTTCTACAGGTCAGAGTCCCACAATGCAGAGGTATGTGCACATCTCCTGCACAGGGTTCCTTAATCCGGATTCCTTTCAGCAATGAAAATGCACTGTAGATGAAGAAGCAGGATTTGGCCCAATGAGAGGTCTGCATAAGTAAGGACTTCAAGAGTCAAGCATTTATTTGGTGGAGATTAATCTGATTGTTTCTTAGAAACGGTTTACTATAACATTCACAGCAGACAGATTTTCATTTGATTTCCAACGGTGTGTGTGTGTGAGCCTATATTTCATATATAAATTACCTTCAATATCTCATCTCCTAATTTGGGGATACTGAACACAGACTGCTTGAATGCCAAATCACCCTAGGACTGTCGTCGTCCCCCCATACCCATAATGGAATCTGTCCGCGCCCCCCCTGGGGCCACTGTTGGGGGCTGGGAGTGGGGCCGGGGCTGAAACCATGGTTGGGAGCCAGGGCTGGTGTCAGGAGCTGGGTCCAGGGTCAGGGGCCGGTGTCGAGGGCCATGGAGCAGTGTAGTGGGGCGGATGCCCCACTCCCAGAGAGTATGGGCTGCGGCAGGCCAGTGGGCCTGCGCAGACGCACCGCCAATGAGAGAAGGGCTTACTGGCAGCCAATCAGGGCCAGGCTCAGCCCTATAAGAAGGTTGCCCAGGAAGGGAGCAGTCAGTCTGTCCCAGGCCTTTGAGAGGGGAAGGTCTATCTCCAAGTTGGGAGACTAGCACCTGAGACAGCGCAGTGCTGGGCAGGCTCAGGGGAGCATAAGGTAACTCCAGCCCAGTGTCTGCCAGGCTGCAGGCCCTGAGGGGAAGGGTCTAGCGGGGGCGAGGGGCCGAAGGGGAAAAGGCCCAGACTGAGGGAGAGAAGGAGGGCAGGATGGCTGCCACTAGAGGGTCCCTGGGTTGGGACCCAGAGTAGTGGGCGGGCCTGGGTCCTCCCATTCCCCCCCTTGCAGTACACCCAGCCATTGTCCGTAGGGAGCGGCCATCATAGACCCACCAGATCCCTGACAAGAAGGGATTAGACTCAAAGGATGTGGTTGGACATGGTGGCTGGAATGTAGGACTGCTGATCACCCAATCCCTGGAAGGGGGTGTGGATGGACTAAGGGGCACTGCTGGAGGGCAGTGGTCCTGAAGAGGACACCGCGAGTTGGTGAGCAATGTGGGCTCAGAAGCCAACCGAGTGCAAGACAACGGGCAGGATACCACTGAGAGGGGACACTCCACTGGACTGAGCTAATTCCCGAAGTAACCAGTAGGAGGCACCACGGTGGTGAGTCCCAACCTTGTTACAAGCAGGAGCCATGGTTGGGAGCCAAGGCCATGGCCAGGAGTGGAGCCAGCGGTGGAGCTGCAGCTGGGGCCATGGCCAGGAGCAGAGCCACAGTCGGAAGCCGAGGTCGTGACTAGGAGCAGAGCCGCAGTTGGGATTGGGGGCTGGGGCCACTGTGAGGAGCAGAGCCATGGCTGGGGCTGGGGCCCGGATCGGGACCCAGGGGCAAGAGTGGAGCCAGGCAGGGTCCGGATTCACAGCTGTGGCTGGAAGCTGGGCTGGGAGCCGGAAGCCAAGGCTGGGGGCAGAGCAGGGCTGGGTGATGCTCCCTCCCTGCCCCCTTGGGGCTGGCCCAGGCCCCACCACACCTTCCCAAATGTTCCTGCACGCCCCCTAGGGGCCCCCCAGTTTGGGGATCACTGATCTAAGAGGTGACAGCCACTGTCATATGCTATTCGAATGGAAAATTTCCCTAGATTTGCAATAAAGTTTTGGATTTTGTCAACGACCTCAGTGTGTAGTGTTGGAGAAATACAGAATTGGAAGGGGTGACTACAAATAAATACTTAATACAAAATAAAAGATGAAAGTTTGTTTGTTTTTTAAACAAAAAACTTCACTCTCATCATGTTACCTCACCTTCTCTATTTTGAATGTGGAGCAGGTTTTTAGAAACTTCTTCTGAACATCTTGATATTCTTGCTGTGTTGTATTTATCATAACCACTTTGACACGTTCTTGTTTCATATCGCACCACTCTTTAGGGAATGCTACTAACTGTTTACCTGCAAAGTAAACATTTTGTTAATACAGCTAGAACTGACTCTGCTTATACGGGCATGTGCCTTATTAAAAACTGAAAAGAGCACCTATTATCCATTCTTTTCTTCCGCCAATTCTTTGGCAAGCCTATTCTCTGCCATGAATACTCCATGGCGTCTGTAGCACAGATTAGATTTTCTATTTTGCTACCAATCTGAGCTCTCACTTACTGAACAAAAACAATTAACTGAAATAAAGTTTAGAAATGTTGGGAAATTTTATTCATTACTTCTGGATCACTCAACATTTTGGGCCTTGGGGTACAAACTGTGGTCAATGGGACAACTCGCATGACTAAGGACAATTCATGTGAGTAAAGAGTGGCAAGACTGGAACGTTTATCCTTTTTATATGGAATGGTATTTGCTTCTGGCTTATAAAGTTTTTGTTATATTGGTAAAACACATGATTTATTAGCAAAGTGATTAAGCTGAGAAAGAATATGGCTACAGCTAATTCACTCCTCTGTCAGTAAACTCTTCTGTTTTTGAGGTCCTGATCCAGCAAAGCACATAAACATGTACTTTTGCTGTGTTGGGGGTCTGAATACTCTTCTACTGGCATTACTGTAAAAGGTTTTGGAAAACATAATCCATAATGAAATATGGAAAAGAACAGACACATTTACAATTTAATATATTCTGGGCAGGTGAAGAGCAGTGGATGCTGGCTGGCCACCCATGTTATTAGGCATAGATTTGCGTGTTTTATTTTATTTCACTTGGTAATTAATTTTGTTCTTTCTGTTACTACTTGGAACCACTTAAATCCTACTTTCTGTATTTAATAAAATCACTTTTTACTTATTAATTCAGCCAGAGTACATATTAATACTTGGGGGGGGGGGCAAACAGCTATGCATATCTCTCTATCAGTGTTATAGAGGGCGAACAATTTATGGGTTTACCCTGTATAAGCTTTATACAGGGCAAAACGGATTTATTTGGGTTTAGACCCCATTGGGAGTTGGGCATCTGAGTGTTAAAGACAAGTACACTTCTGTGAGCTGTTTTCAGTTAAGTCTGCAGCTTTTGGGCACTTAATTCGGACCCTCGGTCTGTGTTGGAGCAGACAGGTGTGTCTGGCTCAGCAAGACAGGGTGCTGGATTCCCAGGCTGGCAGAGGGAAAGCAGGGGCAGAAGTAATCTTGGCACATCAGTTGGCAGTTCCCAAGGGGGTTCCTGTGATCCAACCCGTCACAGTCAGGGGAGATTCCTGCAAGTGGGTCTGACCCAGCCCTAGGAGAGGCCCCTGCAGGGGAATAGGAGGTCCTGTCCCTGAGCAGCGCAGCCAGGACCAGCAGCTGGAGTCTGGCATATTGAAGGAGCCCTTGGCCAGGGCTCCCCCAGCCCTGCCCCTCCCCGGCTACAGGCCCAGCACCCCAGCATTCGGGAGTTAAACGGGCCTTGGGCTGGCTGTGTGTGTATGGGAGAGTGACCACGGGAAACCCCCGCCAACCACGGCGCCCTGCTAGCAGTAGTACTGCCTTCAGAGCTGGGCACCTGGCCAGCGGCTGCTGCTCTCCAGCTGCCCAGCTTTAAAGCATCGCCACCACCAGCAACGGCGCAGAAGTAAGGCTGACAATAGAGCGACCCCCCCACCCCCTACAATAGCCTCATGACTCCCCGTCCCATGACTCACTTTTGGGTTGGGACCCCCATGGTCACAACACCATAAAATTTCAGATTGAAGTGTCTGAAACTGTGAAATTTATTATTTTTAAAATCCTATGACTATGAAATAGACCAAAATCAACCCTGAGTTTGGTAGGACGCTACCTGTGAGGAAAGATTGAAACAATTGGATTTGTTTAGTCTGGACAAGAGAAGACAGAGGGGACATGATAACAGTTTTCAGGTACATAAAAGTTTGTTACAAGGAGAAGGGAGGAAAAATTGTTCTCCTTAACCTCTGAGGATAGGACAAGAAGCAATGGACTTAAATTGCAGCGAGGGCGGTTTAGGTAGGACATTAGGAAAAACTCTGTCAGAGTGGTTAAGCACTGGAATGAATTGCCTAGGGACGTTGTGGAATCTCCATCATTGGAGATTTTAAAGAGCAGGTTAGACCAACGCCTGTCAGGGATGGTCTAGATCAGGGATCAGCAACTCTTGACACGTGGCCCGCCAAGGTAAGCACCCTGGCGGGCCGGGCCAGTTTGTTTACCTGCCACATCTGCAGGTTCGGCCAATCACGGCTCTCACTGGCCGCGGTTTGCTGCTCCAGGCCAATGGGGGCTGCGGGAAGCGGCGCGGGCCGAGGGATGTGCTGGCCGCCGCTTCCAGCCGCCCCCATTGGCCTGGAGCAGTGAACCGTGGCCAGTGGGAGCCGCGATCGGCTGAACCTGTGGATGCAGCAGATAAACAAACCGGCCCGGCCTGCCAGCGTGCTTACCCTGGCGAGCCACATGCCAAAGGTTGCCGATCCCTGGCCTAGATAAACTTAGTCCTGCCATGAGTGCAGGGGACTAACCTAGATGACCTCTCGAGGTCCCTTCCAGTCCTACAGTTCTATGACTCTAAGAAACTCAGTTTAAAATTGTATGCTGGCTTTCTGACACAGCTGCTGTTACATTTCAAACTAAAATTGCTAAGTGGAATCACTGCCAGTGGTAGGTAATGTCTAGCAACTGAAAATTTATGGCAAGAGATAAAGACTTATGCCCAGAAGTAAACCTATCTAGATTCTAGAAGCATTGCTGTTGGATGATTGAGAGAGCCTTTTTGGTACATCCTAAGAATTTTGATCAGTCCCTATTGGGAGATGTCCTATGTCCTCTTCAATTCTGAATTCTTTTTATCCTTTTACACTGGTATAAATCAGGGGTAACTTTACTGAAGTCAATGTTGTTACACTAGTTTTACACTAGTGTAAGTGAGAGGAGAATCAAGCTCAATATGTTTAAAAATATGTTCAGAATCATTAATAGTTTCTAAGAAAATAGACTAGCATTATTTAGAATTTTTAAATATATGAATAAAACTGTGTGTACTTCATCAGACCCTTCATGCAATAATAAACAAATTAATAATAACGCTATGAAGAGCAGCTCAACAAAGCTTTAATTTACCTTCATCCTTTGGCTCACGCTGAATGGTTACAACTGTTCCTTGTTCATCTGTAGCACGTAGATTTTTCATATCTACCTTGTAGTCCTTCCTGAGGAGTTTGATATTAATGTAAGTTTTTTTAGCTACTTTAGCATCCTCTAAGTGCATATTTGTCAGAGGGTCAAAGTCTATGAAAGGCATATTGTTTATGGAATACTTCCACTGTACTAAATTGCTAACAAGTTTTGCCTTTGATTGTTCTTCTTGGTTATCTTTAATACTTTTGATCATGTTTTGAATTTTCATGGAAGCTTCATAGACATCTCTAGTTATACCAGAAACTCTAACAAAAGGAGGGGTTTCCTTGGTTTCCACATGAATGGTAATATGTAGGCTTTTCTGGAGTTCACTTAGTTTCTTAGCTTCTGTTTCATCAAAACTGCCAATTAATTCATCTGGAATAACGTTGTCATACTGTTCTTTTAAAATCAGATTTTTTATCCAAGATTCAGTGGCTTCCACATTTTTTTGGCTTTCACCACAAATCTGAAACGTGGCTAACTCAATTTTCTTCTCCAGCACGAATCCACGTTTCTTTCCAGCAGGACGTTTTTTGCCCATTATAAGTGCTGTAATGAAGTATAAGGTCTGTAATTACTTAACTTTTATTTTAGAAAATATTTAATTTTATGTACCCATTTAAAAAACTCACTACTCACATGTTAACTTAGAAAACCAGGATTCTGATGTTGGTGAAATTGTATCTCCTTCTCTTTTCTGCATACTTGCATAAAATACATTTTGCATCTCTGGCTGGAAGATGACTATTTTAATTTTTTTCACATGCTGGACTGCTTTTGTACTTGCAAACTCAACTATAGCGTCCATCATGTCCTCAGCTACCTTAGCTGGATTCTGCCCTGCCTGACCTGTAACAAATAAATAAAAAATACATATTTGCTGATGAACAGTATGTGAACTGAGATGGTCTCTCTATCAAAGAACCCCTCTGCTCCCCACTTGTACTAGCTGAAGATCTTGTGAACAGTCCGAGCAAAAAAATCAAAGAATGTCTATTTTATAAACTGCAAGCTGTCAGGGTAGAAACTGTCTTTGTTTGTATAGGGCCAAACACACTGTTGGCACTTAACACAATAAAGTAATACAATAATAATAATTAAAGGTAATCCCCCCAAGTCAAAATTGAGGTATATTGCACTGCTGCTATATCTGCACTGTACTTGTTCTGTGGCTAAACACGGGACTTCATTCTTCATAATTACAACAGATAAATATGACTGATGATTTCCTGAAACATCCTTTTGAAGGCAACACAGTCTTATTCTTATAATGAAGTCAGCATAACCAGATATGAAGCAGTTTGAGGAAATAATATATTGTGAAAAGAAAGTTACTTTGTGAGCTCTTAAAGAGAAACCTGGCTCCAGTGTTTTTCTGGTTGCAATCATTAGCTGACAGGCTGCAGACTCTGAAGATGTCATTCTCTGTCTTTCTTTCCAAAAAGATCCATCTTACCAACATCCCTGCTAAAGTGGGGATCTTTTGATGCCATAACTGAAACAAGAGCTATTAGTCTGCCACTTTCATAAAGTATAATTTCACTGACAAATGGATATAACACATTTCTATAACAATACTAACAGCTTTTAACTGGACGAGAGAATAATATATAGGATAAGCCCGAAACTTAAGATGAGGAAAATTGTAAGTCGCGCATGGACTGTGAACAGTGTATGGTTCCTACAAAGTGTCCAAGCCAATCCCAAAACGTGCGATGCAATGTAAAGTAAATGCAATGTAATATATACATGTACATAATGGAAGGGGGTTTCTGCATTACTTTGGATGTGTGGTATATCCTGTTCCTATATTTGAGTCAGTATACTTTTGCTATATGCCAAATGAAGGAACCTGAGTGACAAGAACTGAGTTCTTGGGAACCGTGTGGAAGAGGTCTTAGAGGCTACCCTAACAGTTCTGAATGTCTTGCTTTTTTACTAACATGTGGCCCAATCCTGCCACTCTTATACAGATAATCCTGCTCATGCTAACAGTTCTGTTGAAGACAACAGAATTACTCATTTAAGTAAATGTTACAGGGTTTTTTTAAATGACACCCAAAGTGTTCATTGACATTTAAAGTTACCATTTAAATATATTCCTAACAGGCTGACTAAAACTTATCTACTGTCTTGGAGAAATATTCTGCAAAGCAGAAATCTTGTAACGCAACATGTTTTTCCTGGATAATGTCACATTAGTGTCAATATATAATTTAGAGCTGGGCAAAAATTTTCATTTTTCGGGGCTCTGAAACTACTTGCAAATTTGGGTTGAATCTGGTGAACAGTTTTTGTTGATTTTTTTTTTCCCCAAAGAAGTTGCAACAGATTGTTTCAGCCATTTAGAAACTAAACATTTTGACTTTTCCTTTCAAAATGGCGTGTGGTTTCAAGATATAGCTAACGGGGGAAAAATGGGTGAAAAACAACACAAAATGAAATAACCAAAAAAATCATTGGGGGCCAAACTAAATGTTTTATTCGACACAGAACAATTTTTTTATTTATTTTTAATTTTTATTTTGGCAAGAAAAAAAAATCAGTTTTGGTTAGAACAGCACCTCGCTCACCCGCGCCGCTTCTCGCCGCCCCCATTGGCCCGGGACGGCGAACCATGGCCAGTGGGGGCCACGATTGGCCGAACCTGCTGCGTCAGCAGGTAAATAAAACTGGCCCGGCCCGCCAGGGTGCTTACCCTGGCGAGCCGCGTGCCAACGTTGCCGACCCCTGGGTTAGAACAAAACTGAATTTTTTTCCAGAATTTAAAGTCTGCCCTTGAAAAAGTCAACTATTCACTCAGCTCTGATATCATTAATTGGCAGCTCCCTTAACCAGGTGACTGTACATTACCACATGCTTTTTCAACATCTCTCCACTGAATACAGCCCCTCGGCCATACAGTTACCTGCCAATGTTGTCTATAGCAAGCCAGCTGAACCAAGTAGTTAGGCTACTTTCGGACCAGAATATGCTTCTGCTGAAATCAGTAAGAGTAGTGCCAGGCCTTCAGAGGCTAATACAATATGGATACATGCTATGCAAATCTGTAATTTTAACATGACAGTTTTAAACCACACTGTTGGTATGACTGTGTGTGTAAACTTACTACAGTGATCTTGATTTTGCTTTTCCTTTCAAAATCTACTAAGAAAAAACAAACCTGTTCCAATTGCTGGGAAGGCGACAGATGTGTACTTCCTCAGTTCACACTCCTGGAGCACTTTAGAGACTTGAGCTTTAACATCTTTCTGATGAATGAGGTGAATAATTTTATTGCACATCAGTTTTCCACCTTGTGTGGTTATAAAGCCACTGTGAGGCTGCAAGGCTGGAAGACAGAAGAAAAAAATATGACACACAAAATGAGATCAACACTTTATAATAACAAAGGACCAGACCCTCAAGTGAAGTGTACAATGGAGCAGTTCCAATGTCTTTAACGGAGCCATGCTGATCTACACCAGATGAGAATATAGCTTCTGGATATAAATTTGCCTGGTATTTGCAAACAGGAAAGTGGAAAGCAAATCTATCTTGAATGTTTTATCCATTCAGGGTCTTGACATTCCACCAGCTTTATCTGGTTAATGTTTTCGCTGCTAACATTCTGCTTTTAAAATTTCTTTAAGCTGATATCTTAAATCGGGGGTTAACTTCGTATGTGCTCAGAATTTCCTGTTTTGCTTATGACTGAAATCTGGGTGCTCATCAAATAATAGTTTACAATTTAACACAAGCTACCTTTCAATGTCCTCGGGAGTCAAAAAATCTTATCGCGTTATAGGTGAAACCGCGTTATATTGAACTTGCTTTGATCCACCGGAGTGCGCAGCCCCGCCCCCCCACACCCCCTCCGGAGCACTGCTTTACTGCGTTATATCCAAATTCGTGTTATATCAGGCCGCGTTATATCGGGGTAGAGGTGTATATGAAATTTAGTAATTGTATTTGCATTATCAACATTTCTTAAAATGTGTATCCATGGAATGTGCACAATACCTCTGCATGAGAAACCCCTTATCTTTATTTATGTCATTTACCTCCAGAAAACTCTATTTATCATTTTACAGATAAGCTGACAGACTAAAAAAGAGCCCAAGTGATTTTAGGGCTATTGCAAGGAGGCTAAGGCACATGTAATAAAATTCTTTAAAAGTGCAAAAAACTGATGAACTCATGAGAACAATGGTACAAATAGCACTACTATGCAGAAAGGCAAGAAATTGATTGTGAGATTATGTGCTTATCCTATTAAGTGCAGAACACATTCAACTCCCATTGGTTTGGGAGTTGAGGGCAAGGCACTCAGCACCTTGCAGGATCAGGCTAATAAAGGGAGAGAATCCACAGATTTGCCAAAAGTGAAAAAATATGAAGCAAAAGGTGCAATACTGGAGCTGAACTGCCAGAACCATGGGGGCGCTATTTCATTTTGTGATTCAGGATGTGCACTACGGGTTTTTCTTGCACTAATGGATGCCAACCACAGTTGCCAATGGTTTAATTTCGGCAGTGGTTTGGCAGAATCCAAAGACTGTAGAAGAGCTCACAGACACAGTACCTACTGGGTTACATCATTCAATTAACAATTGTGGACTTCTGAATACAAAAGCAGAGACACTGATAGTATCTAAGAGACTGATCCTGCACACACTGAAGTCCGTGGCAAAGCTCCCATTGTCTCATCCAGGAGCGGGATCAGTCCCAAAATTGCTATTGCCTCAATTCAAGAAGGTACGTCAAGCATGTGCCTAACTTTAAGCAGGTAAGTTTAAGTTACATGAGTTTAAAGTGACTGAAGCCAATGGGCCTCTTCAAGTTCTGAAAGTTAAGCATGTGCTTAAGTACCTTCATGAATAGGAGCCTACGGTTGCACTACTTCACATGTACTCCTTAGGATCAAATAGCCTTTCTCTTCCAAATTATCTTCCTTTTGCAAAAATAATGTGGGTGCCATGAGAGCAGGATTTAAAAAAAAAAAAAATCAATAAAGCCAGCACAATTTCATTTAATGTAATGTGCTTTCCAATTATTATTATATGATCCAACTCGGGGATTGTAACATCATAAATAAGCATAAGCAGCCATTTAAATTGTGGAAAGAGCAGGTATACTAATAATGGAATCAAATGGAATATATGTTGCATCATACCAAGCATATTACATTCTAGTTTAACCTGGGGTCCGGCAGCTTCCATCACTGCTTTGAAGACACCTTAAATAAATGAGAAAGCATGTCAGTTCACTAAGTCAGTTTAACTGCTGTTACCCAAAAATCACATCACACCTGTATGAAAACTCTCATAAACCTTAGAATAGCAGGGTTGGAAGGGACCTCAGGAGATCATCTAGTCCAACCCCCTGCTCAAAGCAGGGCCAATACCCAACTATTATTTTTTTTGCCCCAGATCCCTAAATGGCCCCCTCAAGGATTGAACTCAAACCCCTAGGTTTAGCA